GCAGGGGTGTTTCTGCCTTCCCTGTAGCTTCAGAAGTGGCTTAAGGAGCGAGGCAGGTACCTAAAAGCGCGGCTGGGCGTTGCTCAGGCCTCCTCTTAGTTTCCCGTGTGCTTCCCGGCAAAGGCTCGCCCCGTGAATTTATGAGGTTTCATCGTCTGGTTTGGGGTCGGGGGGCGTCTCGCTTCGATTCGTTTTCCTCCCTTTCCAGGGCTGTGCGGGTCTTAGGTTGGCTTGGCTCTGTTCGGCGAGAAGGCCGGAATGTCCCTGCCGGAGTGGCACATCGCGGTGAAGCTGGCGGACCAGCCGCTGGCTCCCAAATCCATCTTACGGTTGCCGGAGACGGAGCTGGGAGAATGCCCGCTCGGTGGGTGCAGCATCTCCTACCTCAAGCAGCTCATCACCGGCAAACTGCAGGAGTCTGTCCCAGACCCCGAGCTCATCGGTAGGTGCCTGCGTGGGTCGTGTCAAAGTCCTGCCACTTGGGGCCACCCTCTTCCTCTCCTCCCTGCGGCCGGGACGCAAACATCCTACCGTTGGTGATTTTGGGCCGGTGGGGAGACTTGGCACAACCAGACGGCGCGGCGTGGGGGCTCAAAGCTTGCTCCAGAGACTCTGCCACGCTGCAGCAGTCTTAGTACCTTGTGCTTTTGATAGTTTGTTTTGCGCTCGCTTGGGATCACAGCGCTCCTGCGGTGTCGGGGCCCTTGTCAAGAAGTCCTTTGCCTTCCTAACACCGGTGTGTCCTTGTGAGATCTCTTACGAGAACCGTGAGAGAGGTTGGCCCTTCTAAAGGAGGCGGCAAAGTCGCGTTCTGTGAGTCTCGGCTCCGTGATTTTCCTCCCTGAACCTCAGCGCCATAACTTCCCTGTGTTACGGAGTCCCTGTGCTGCTGACCAGATGAAGCAGCCACACATGTGGAGCAATAACCCCCAGGCAGCCCTCACTTAAAGACCCCAGGCCCTTTCGGAGCGTGCCATAGACGTTTAGATGTTTCTCTCTCCTAGATCTGATTTACTGTGGCCGTAAGCTGAGGGACGACCAGACGCTTGATTTTTATGGCATCCAGTCGGGCTCCACTGTTCATGTCTTGCGCAAGTCCTGGCCGGAGCCTGATCAGAAACCAGGTGAGGAGGAGGCGGCGTGGCTTACCGCTTCGATCTCCTCGGGATGTGTTTGGCGTGGGTCCCTTGTGACTGAGGAACAGCTTCGCTTGTGATTCGCTTCTGGGAGGCTGACGGGGGGCCTGCAGGAGGAATCGATCGATACGTTTGTGTGGGGACGCTCCACCTCTGACAGCAGCGAATGGGTGTCATGTTTTCCCGCTGATGGGAGAGTTAAGGAATGAGCTAGGTAACGTGGAGAGTGAATATCCCTTCCTTAATTGACTGTGATCACTTTTAGGGGGCTGCCAGAGAATCGGGAACAAAGCGACTGGTTGCTCAGCTCGAGGGATGAGGGGGCTTGTGTGTGTTCCTAGTCTGCCTCACTGTAGAATAAGATGGGTCAGTTTAGAGTTGTTACTTTAATACAGTTCCTTTTGTGCGTGTAGGAGGATACATCTGTGTATTTCTACACGTCTGGAAGCTGAGAATGCAGTTCCCTGTTACGCTGTGGTAAATGTACTGAGACATTCGCAAGCAGTAGTCTGTACCCTTCCTCTCTTGGTCAGTCGAATCCAGGGGAATTAAAGAATCACCACCGCTGTGGCAGCGTGGAAGTCCCAGTGGCACGTCAAATGGCTAGTAAAGCTGACAGAGGGAGACCCATGTTTTGTTCTGTTATTTTTCCTCCCTCAGAGCCTGTGGATAAGGTGGCAGCAGTACGGGAGTTCCGGGTCCTTCACACTGCCCTGCACAGCAGTCCCGCCTACAGAGATGCAGTGAGTGGGGCTCCGTACTTTGCCGTCTGGGCGTCTTTCGTCTGTCCCCTCTCTGTGAAGAGTCTCCTTGAGTGGAGCCTCGTCGTGCGACGCTGCTGATCTGCTCTGATTTCTCCGGTAGGTCTTCAAAATGCTGGGGAACAAGGAGTCGCTGGATCAGATCATTGTAGCTACTCCCGGCCTCAGCAGCGACCCTGTTGCTTTGGGTGAGTCCAGATGTGACCCGGAGGATCTGAGGGAAGCCAAATAAAGATAGTCAGTGTTTAATTCCTGACACGGGGAAGGGAGAGTTCCCCTTCTCTGGAGAGAGCGTCTGTTTTGGTTCCTTTGCGGAGCGTAAGAGTAAGTGCCTGCTCCGGTGCCAGAGATGTGCTCCGTTGGTAACGTTTGGGGATGGACGCTGGCTTCGAAAGGATTAGGGAACACGCAGCCCAAAGGAGAGCAGTGGGATGGATGTTTTTTCCCCCGCTGCAAAGTGTTGCAAAAATGTTCGCTAAATCTAGCGTGCTTGTTCTGTTGTTACGAGCTTTTTTGGCACGCTGCTGTGAGGCAGGTGGAGTATGGGATGCAGTCACAACCCCTCGCAGCGAGCAGCCGGCTGGGGTGAGCCGGGTGCCAGATTTGATCCTGCCCTTAAGGTGGAGCTGTCTGTGCTGCAGCACGGCCCGTGGGATCTGCTGGGACAACCCCATCCCTTGGGTGAGTGGCTGTGATCGAGAGTCTCTCCAGGAAGACGTTTTACGTCTTTAACATCTTTTACGGCTTCAGAGGGAACAATAATAGAGTATTTATGGTGTCTGCTAGTGACTCAGTTCCTGAAAAACAATGAATTCTTTTGGTTTTTCCCATGACTCTTGTTTGACTGGCTCCTGTTTCTTGTATCCTGTCTTTTACTCACCGTGTTTCCTGGTCCCTCCCAGGAGTCCTACAGGACAAGGATCTCTTTTCAGTGTTTGCAGACCCCAACATGCTGGACACGTAAGTTCACGTAAGCTGGTGCAGTGACTAAGCAATGCCTTTGTCACGCTGTTGTGTAGACCGCTTCTCTCGGGGGGGGGGGGGGGGGAGAGAGAGTTCTGCTACTGCCTGCCGGTACAGACGCACCAGGCCAGAGATTCAGGGTAGAACTCTTCTTCCTGGGCAGCAGAAAGGAGGGAGCTGGTGGCTTTGATAGGCATCTGCCTCCACTGTTGGATTAAACCAAAGGCTGTTTAGTGGGAGACAGGGCCATCGTCGCCTCCAGCTCGTGGGTTCAAATCTGGATCTCGTTGCTCACAGCAGAGAGTTGCTCCCATGAGAGCGTATGGGAGATGTGTTCAATGGGAGGGTCAACATGCGATCAAGAAGGAGCCTCAGCTTTTCTGGCCGTGTGGAGCAAGGTGGGGAGGTGTTTGGTGCTGGACAGCCAAAGGCGGTGTCTGGGGTGGTGTTGGCGCAGCCAGTGGGGATGGCTCTGCCATTCCTGACCTAAGTTCTTCGCTGGTGTTGAGCTGCTGATTTCCTCCTTTCCCTGCGTATGTGATTCATTCTTCCACTCTTTCTCTCCAGGCTAATCCCAGCCCACCCCGCGCTTGTGAATGCCATTGTCCTCGTCCTGCACTCGGTGGCTGGCAGCACCCCGCTCCCAGCCCCAGAGACGTCCTCCCGAGGCATGTCCTCTGGCTCCTACCGGGACATGCCAGGTACGTTCAGCCACACAGGTGAGCGGGGAACCTGCAGAGATGATGTGCTGCAGGATTTGCAGGCAAATCTGTGCTGTACTGACAGAGTCATCCCCAGGATGGAAGGAAGAGAAGTTTGGGTTCCTGAGCTAGGAGCGTGCAGGTGTGGTTTGATAGATTTTTGTGCTGCGTGAGACTCACCTGGTCCACGTCAGCCTCGGGGCCTCTCCCAGCCAAGCGTGTATAATGACTGTAGGTAGCAGAGCGCTGCGGCCTCTGTTTTGTGCAAGTGGTGGGCCTGACCTGTCTTCCACTGACCTGCTGCACGTGAACTCGTCGGTGCTGAGGCCCCTGTCCTACCCAGTGCGTTAGCTGGGGCTGAGCCTTGGCTGCCTGGCCAAGGACTCCACAGGATTCTCGTCTGGTGCCTAATTCCTGCCAGCACCTAGTTTTCTGCATCTGTTGGTTCTCTGTTCTGTTGCAGGTGGCTTTCTGTTTGAAGGTCTCTCTGATGATGAAGATGACTTCCACCAGGTAAGCAGCCAGGTTGGGTGGAACGGCTGTTTTGGACTTGCAACAGGGGTTTAACTTGTAGCCCTTACAAGACTCCAAAAGTTTTCTCTCTTCCTGTCTCATGAACGGCACGAGCCGCTCTGGCTCCTAGGGGTGTTGTGGAGACAAACATACTGATTGTGGCGTGCTTGGGTGCTGTTCACGTTAGGATCTTGAGTGCTGAGGTAGGGTCACAACAGAAGAATGCAGAAGGACGACTCACAGCAGCGCTTGTCCTCGGCGTAAACACCTTCGCGGTCAAATTGACGCAGAGCCAGCGTTGTGCACGGCTGAGCACGGCTGGGAAGCATGGGAATGTTGGTCCCTGCTCTTCTTCTGTAACGTAGGGAGGTTTTCCTCTCCAAAGGACAAAGTATTTTGTAAAGAGAAATTACATGTTTAGGCAAAAAAAGTGCCTGTCAACGGTCAATTGGTTTGTTATAGGCTAATAACACTTTGTTTTTAAGCTGATGGATGATATATGAAAAAGTTTACTGCCAGTTTCCACAGCTTTGTAAAAGCTGAGTTGGCGGAAAAAAGCACATCCGATTCTTGTCATGTTTATTTTCTAAAAGTTCCGCACTTGAGTTTCAAGTATTGTAGGAAAGGGATCCCCGGGGATGGGCACATGAGCCAGATTTTACTGGGACGCGGACACCAACATCAGAGGTGGTTTTTGGTTTGGTTTTTTTTCCCTCCCTGCAGAGCACAAGATCTACACCATCCAGCAGCGCTTCTGGTTCCCGCCCAGCTTCCCTTGGCTACGCCGGGGCTGCTGGACCCCGGCCGATCACCCAGAGCGAGCTGGCCACCGCGCTGGCACTGGCGAGCACCCCAGAGAGCAGCTCCCACCCGGCTACCCCTGGCACCCAGGTACAACGGCAGCGCAGAAGCTAGGGGGATCCTCCTGGGCCATAAAAGCAGTGCTTGACCGAGCGCAAGCCCTGCTCAGGTCTGGGGGTCCTCGCTGTTTTATTTTCTTATGGCTGGGGTCTCCTCCATACGGGCTTGGGGGGAGGCATGATAGTGGGGGTGCGGCAGGCGTTGCTCTGTGCTGGCTCTGGCTCCCGTGACAAGTGTTCTCCCGATCCATATACAACTTACTTCCTCCTAGGGCCACTCCTCTGGGACCTCCCCGATGTCGTCCAGTGTCCAGTCGGGAACGCCCATCACCAACGACCTCTTCAGCCAGGCCTTGCAGCATGCCCTGCAGGCCTCAGGGCAGCCCAGCCTGCAGGTCAGTGTTGCAGCCTCTTCCTTCGGGAGCCCCTGAAAGCCCCGTATCGCATTGGGTGTTGCAGGGTGGAGGTGGTTCTTCCAGCCGCCTCCTCTGGCAGGACATTAAGCCGACAGGGGCATCGCTGGAGAAGCGGTGCTTGCAGGAGGCGTGATAGACTGATGCAAAAGTACTGGGCGGAAGCGGGAGGGGTGGGCTGCTGGATTTGGGGAGTTTGCAGCAAGACTTTGAGCTTTCAAGATCTGTTTGCGCACTTAGCATTGTACTTGTGAGCTAGAGAGAGGGGGAAAATCCAACGTGGAAGAGTGAGCTGTGGAGAAGGCTGTTTCATTTCTGCTTGGACTCTCGCACCTACCCTTAGCTTCTTTTGTTTCCTGTCTGTAGAGCCAGTGGCAACCACAGCTTCAGCAGCTGCGAGACATGGGCATACACGATGATGAGCTAAGTCTCCGGGCCCTGCAGGCCACCGGAGGGGACATTCAGGCTGCCCTGGAGCTCATCTTTGCTGGTGGGGCTCCCTAGGTTTTTGGGCAGGAGAGGGTGGACTGGTGAGTCGCACTGAGGCCGCCGTTGGACTGGTGAGTCGCACTGAGGCAGCCGTGACATTCCTCGGTCTGGGACTCGGCCCTGAAACTCTTCTCTGCACTGGGGTTCCTCTCTCCAGCATGGAGCAGTTGGGGTGGCTGCTCCTTTCCTTGCAGGTGGGCAGTGTGCTCCTGTTTGGGAGCACTGACCATGCTGAGGGCAGCTCCTCCAGCCCCAGCTACTTCTCTCCAGCCTCCTTCTTCTGGCCACCAGAGACGAGACCTCAGAACTTTGTCCAGCACGGAGAAGGAGGTGGCTCTGTGTGGGGGAGAGATGTTGCACCTACGGTTCTGCAGTCTTAGATCTGTCAATGCATTCTCCTGCCTGTTGTTTCATTCCTGCCCGCCCGACGTGCCTCTGTCTATCTTGTTTTGCTTTTGTGGTCCCTCTGTGTTTGACTGTATTAAATGGACTGTATTCACTTGCCTGTTGTTTGGGTTGTGATCTGTCCCGGCTTGTGTTCCAGATCTGCGAGGCCATGTGCTCATTGCAGGAAGGAAACTGGAGAAAATGCTGTGCCTGTTGTAGGACTGTTGTTATTTCAGCAGAGGGCACTCCTCTTACAGAGCAAAGCTGTATCTGTTAGGAGAGCAGTGTTTGGGGCGTAGCTGACCTGCGTAGCCATCCTGCCCTGAGTTAGGCCAATACAAGAGAACTCTTTGTGCTACAGATATTCTCCAAGAAGGTGCTGCAGAGAAGCATCGTCTCTCCTTCTTAGCAGAAACCTGTTTGTTCTCGGTTCTGTTGGGTGAGGCTGGTAGAGTCCTGCGAGCTGACAAGAACGAGGGTACAGGTGCAGGAGTTCATGGCCACCACAAGGTGACAGTGGAAAAAAATGACGAGCGCAAGGGTTGAGGCAGGTGCCAGGAAGTGTGAGGTGCTGCCAAATGACTTGGGAGGAATGACTGTGTCTCTGACACAGGTTAGTCTGGCTGCAGCCGGCGCTTTCCAAAGTGTCTTCTAATCCTGGGTGGCACGTCCGAGGTGCCTAAGACCTGAGCTGCAAAGGCAATCAAAGGCATTTGCCTGTAATTACCGTCAATGGGAGCTGAGAGAAGCCAGAACCGGAGCGGGGCTTGGCTTCGCTCCGATTGTACCATTGAGATTAACAAGGCATGAAAATGGGAGCTGGTTTGCCTGAAATGCCACCCTGCGTTAGTAGGGAAGCTAAAAGCAGAAAATGCTTTCCTACCTTCAGACTGCCTGTGCTCCCCTCTAATTCCTCTCCAAGCGCGAGGATCGCGCTGATACAATCTCAGCTATCGCCCAGCAAGTGCTGGATTGCTCTCTCCAGGGTAGCCCATTGACTGATAGGCTTTAATCCTGTCTAGAGGATTAAGTCTCTCAGGAGGGAGGGACTGTTTTTATTTTTCAGTACGTAGGAGACAAGATGTGATGGACGTAACCGGCTTTCCTGACTTGGTACACCCTTCCGGGTTGCTGCCCTCATTACCTGCTTTGGAAACCCAGTCCAGATGATGGCCGTGGTTTTATGTGTATGAAAACTGATTTATTTGTTCCCGTCCCTGGTGCCTTCAGTCTTTGCTTTGCTGGGGGAGTGGATAGCACACGCACAGCATCCTCCCTCCCTTCCCCGCTGTGGAGGCAAGCCCTGCTGTCAGGCCTCAATCCTCTCGGGCTAACTGAGGATTAGCTGTATCGCAGATGTTGCTGCCCAAAGCTGGAAAGCATTTGCAGGCTCTCACAGACCTGCTCAGGGCTAGCAGGACTTGCTTTGGGACCAGGGCCACTAGTTTGCTTTGCTGTACCGTGTCAGTTCTCAGCTTAGCCCAGCTTGGGGTTCTTGGTGTCCCAAAATGGTCTTTCTTTTCTGTCCTGACCTTGCTCTTATGATTTGATCACTTTGTTGACCCACATTTCCTATTAAGTAGTTTCTTCTGTTGCAATGGCTATTTCTGCTTCTCCCTCTGTCCCCAGACAATTGAGAATTGCCTGGATGTTTCGTATGGAAAGAACTCTTTTCCAATTTCTTTCAGAAACTGTCTGACTTGGCTTGAAGTACCACATCAGACACATTCTCTCTCTGAATTGGCTATGGCAGAGAAGAACTTGGCACCGATGTTGTTCACGACGCGACTGATGCGTGTGCTTTGCTTCCCCCATCTCGCCTGCCTTTGGCTGCCTAGAATAGACGTGCTCAGCAACCAGGCAAATTTAGAGATGCAGGGATGGGAAGAGAGGCTCTGCCTGGCACCTGCAGGGCTGGTGAGGAGGAGGAGGAGGAAGGGAAACTTTGCTGCGGGAGCTCTTGCAGGAGAGCGGAAGCTCGGAGTTCCTCAGAACTGGCTCTGCAGCAGCCAGGTGAGCGCCGCCTTCCCGCCTGCTCTAACGGCCGAGTGCCTCCCAGCTTTGGGATGAAAGGGGTGCTGGCAGCCACCTCTGCGTGCAGAGAAAGCTCAGCCAGCACAGCCTCTGCCAAGGGGGAGAAACCGGCTGGGGGGAGGCTGCAGGAGGCGCACGCTTGTTTGGAGAGGCCCTTTGCCTGGGATTGGCAGCCTGAATGTGGCTTATGGGGATGCAGCATGAGGTCTTCTGTCCAAGCCAGTTGTCCTGCCTTCTACAGTCATTGGAGGAGCCTATATCCCGAGAGAGATACCGAACAAAGCTGGAATGACGCTGGGAGACGTGGACATCCATTGCTTGCTGAGAAAGCAGCTAAGTCCGCGACAGATTCTGCTCTTTGGGAGCAAATTGCAATGCACTACCTCCCACCTGCCTGTTCCCTGTGGTCCACCCTAGGTGCCGCTGCCCTGACACCCTCCCCTCCTCCTCGCTACTTCCATGCTAGGGTTAGAGGTGCATCCGTTCTTGTTGGGTCTCGGCTTATCTGTATCGGGCCTGCGTGCCTGGCCTCCGCCACGCTTTGTTTGCCAGCCAAGCATCTGTGGCCTGACCGCCTCACCGGCACTGCTGCGGGAGCAGACTGGGAGGTGCTTGGCTGACCCTTTGGAAGAGGTGGAGGTCAGGCCACGGTTCCCCAACGTAAGCGCTTTCAGTAGGGACTTTCTGGTTCCGACATCAAAGAGAAATTTTTGGTTCAGTTCCTTCTTTGCCTGTAGTGGAGCTGACAAGGGAAGTAGTAACAGCGGGCGTTTGCAGTAGTAACGGTCGCAGCTGTTTGTACTCCGGTGTTTTCAGTGATCTTGTTGTTTGTTCTGGTGCTTGACCGTCAATACTGGCGCATTGTGGACGCCTGCAGGGTGAGGCAGTTTGGCTGGGACCTAGGCTCTTCGCCACGTGTGCTCTGCTTTTCTACTTTGGCCGCCCTGATGGCTTTTTTCACGCTTTCCGCCTTGTCTCTTTCTGCCTAAGGCAGTCCTGAGCTGACTGTCTCCGTGAGGAGCAAAGCGGTGTTGTGGGGGAGTAATCTTCCAGCAAAAGGGTGAAAGGGAGACAGAGCAGAATCTCCCAGGCTTCACGTCCCTGATGGCTTTTGGCTCAGCCTGTGTGACTGCCCACCTGTGTCTTCTGCTTTCACAATGATGCTGGAGGCTTCCCATGTGTGCAGGGAACGCAACCGTCGAGATCTATCCCAGCAGCAGACGTTGATGTTTGAGGTATTAATTGTTTGTGTGCAGGCACAGTCCCTCTGGTGTGGGCATACTCGGGCGGTTTGTTGGATCGGATCATAAACCGCCAAAGTTTCAAGCTCTTCAGCCTTGATTTCTGACTTCAAGTGACTAGCGTGGGAGAGATTTCCCCTCATCCTCCCACGTCTCCAGTATTTCAGAACAGACGTTTCTTCCCTGCTCCCCCAGCCAAACAGAGGCTCTGAGTGTCCCCTGCTTGCGGGACCCTGGCACAGGAACCAATTCCCCGTCTGGGCGAGGCAGCAGAGCGCCTTAAACCGGTGTTGCTGTTTTGCCCAGCTCCGTCCACAAATGTTCAGGAGCCAGAGGACTAACTGTCGCAATGCCCCTCCTGCTCATCACTGATGTCCGTACTGAGCTGGGGGAACATCGTTCTCTTCTCCCCAGCACAGTGCGGGGCCACACACCTTGGCCCCCCAGCTGCCCTCTGGCACATCAGTTCAGAAGATTGGTGAAGGCGACTTTCTCCAGTGCTCCAGGATGCAGCGTCTCCCTCAGGATTTGCTAGGGCAGGAGTAAGCTGGGTGTCGGTCTCTTCTCCCAAGTAACAAGCGATAGGATGAGGGGAAATGGCCTCAAGCTGCGCCAGGGGAGGTTTAGATTGGACGTGAGGAAAAATTTCTTTACTGAAAGAGTGGTTGAACATTGGAACAGGCTGCCCAGGGAAGCGGTTGAGTCCCCATCCCTGGGGGTATTTAAAAGACGGGTAGATGAGGTGCTGAGGGACATGGTTTAGTGGGCATGGGGGTGTTGGGTTGACGGTTGGACTCGATGATCTTGGAGGTCTTTTCCAACCTTAACGATTCTATGATTCTAAGCTTGGGCAGCTCGGCAGGATACATCCATGTCGTGAACAGCAGCAGGGAACTTGTCTGGCAGAGCCCTTGCCCATCGGCTTGCCTCCTTCGCAAAGGACTCGGTGGTTTCCTGGCTGCTTTCAGCTCTGTCCTTGTGGGGAATGCCAAAGTGTCGGGAAACACATAATCATTTTTAGTTTTGTGCTGGTTCAGTGAGCTGAACGGTCTCATGGTGGGGGACAGGCTGGTGGCAGGGCAAACTGAAGAGGGAGCAGCAGGACCAGGTGGGGGTTCCCTGGCAATAACGAAATCTTGGTCTTACTCTTTAACAGGCAAACTTTTGAGGATGGAGGAAAGAGTTTTACTGATGCTGGGACAACTGATCAGGAGTAAGGTGAGAGCCCAAAGAACAGGGCAGCTGATACAGTGCAGCTTCATAGAATCCTCTGAAGCAGCCTGTGGCCTGTGGGACTCGGTCCCTTTCCTAGCGTGAATCAACATTTTTCTTTAGAAGTGACAAAATCACTCTGTGACTTTAGTCATCAAAGCATCCTTTTAAGGAGCTGTGCTTTGCACAGCTGAGAGTCCGTGTGATGCTAAATGGAGGACAGCACAATAAAACAGTGCGGTTTTAAGGCAAACCGGCTCTATTTTAACTTGGTGAAAGCAGAAAGGTACTGAAAATGTCACACCATGAAAATATTTCTATTTCCTAATATTTTCTTCTATATTTACAGTTTTCTAATGTTTGTAAGTCACAGTGTTTATGAATAATCCTTTGATTTACAGTAGCGCGTGCAGTTCTAGTTGTGCCTTACAAGGATGCTTGAGTTTAGGAGTATGGTAAGCAAAAGGAAAGCTCAGAGGGAAGAAGATAAACATCCCCTGATACATCCTTTGAAATCAAGACAATGGCTGAGCCGCTGGCTTTAAACATGAAGCTTCCTGGCTCTAGTCCTCTTGAACTGAGCTTGGAAACTTTAAACAAAACAAAAAAAAACCCCCAACGATCTTAAGGTGAGACCAGGGATTTTGGGGAGCACTTCTGACCACACAGTCTCTCTAGCTGACTTCTGGGTGTTCCAGGCTGCCAGCACGCAGAATGGTTGTCCCAAAATCACTTTGAGACTTTTTTTTGTCCCTGCCGCTGAAATAAATACCTTGCT